ATCCATCCATCCATCCATCCATCCATCTATCTAATCGAGGTGTTACTATAACACATTTAAATATTTATTAATGACAGTAATCCTAATCCCAGTAACCCCACTGTCTTCAGGTACATTGGAGCCCTGGGAGCCCGCGTCATCTGCGACAACATCCCAGGTCTGGTGAACAAACAGCGTCAGCTGTGCCAGCGTCACCCCAACATCATGCAGGCCATTGGTGAGGGCACCAAAGAGTGGATCAGAGAGTGTCAGCACCAGTTCAGGCACCATCGCTGGAACTGCAGCACGCTAGACCGAGACCACACCGTGTTTGGACGAGTCCTCTTGCGAAGTGAGTCGCTACCTTTCAAAACTCCCACCTAAACGCTCAATTAAATCCATCCATCCATCCATCTATCTATCCATCCATCCATCCATCCATCCATTTTCCACACCCTGTCCTTCTTTTCTTCTTTTCCTCTTAGTGTTTCTTCCTTAACCACCTTAACTCTAGCTCCTTTATTCTTTCCCCCTGGAAATCCAACTCTTTCTCTGCTGTAACTTCTGACATGAGTTATACGTCCACTATGTGCAAAAGAAGCCTAACTGAATTACAGTAAAACTTTTGCAAAAACTAACCTAAATGTTCAACATATACATTAAAGGCCTGACTTCACAAGCATCGTAGGGCGACTTTCAGATATTTTATGGACATTTTTTTTGCTCCAAGGCACCGAACAGTAACGACCATGGAATAGAAAACCGTTTCGTTCTGTCGTGGATGTTTTTGAGGCACCGAACAGTAACGACCATGGAATTTCGTTCTGTCGTGGATGTTTTTATGGAAAACATCAGATGAAAAGCAACTGTGCCGAAGCAAACACTTTGTCTGACTATATCTGAGCAGACAAGTTAGGATCGGAGGGAAGTGAAAGGGAGAAGAGACTAGCAGGACCATGGCGGATCACGGGGTGGTAACACCAGTCTGGTTCCGATTAATGGGATATCAAAGTCTTTGAACAATTTATGTGAGTGTAGGTAAAAGCTTTAGTTAGTAACAGAATTAGTAACACGATATGTAAACAGTGAAACGTCTCATAGAGGCACAGACACGGACACAAAGCTTGTCCAAAAAAACCCCAAAAACTTCAAAGTGAGTATGCAGCGGAATTCCAGACACTTGGAACTGAGAGAAAAACTGACCGCTGTGTTATTTCCAAATCTGACTTTTTGTCAGAATGAGTCGACGTGACAAAAAAAAATCCGTGATCTAAACAGTACAAATGTTGAGATCACAGTTCCTCAAGTGTAGCTGATCAGTCAATCACTGATCTGGACCTGTTCAGTCCACGGGCAGGCCTTGATTACTGGTCACAGGAAAGCAGCCTCACCTATGACAGCCTCCTGGAAGGATGCTGCAAGCTACATTTAAAATCATTATCAAAACGCCTCTAAACTGCCCAAAATAGCTAGTAATAGCTTACTCAATGGGATTCCACTGTTCCACTTCATTCTGTCTGCCTTCTGTATTGGGTTTTTTTTTATATTGATTCTTTTTGTCTCCTATAATAATAATAATAATAATAATAATAATAATAATAAGTTATTGTTATTATTATTAGTAGTAGTAGTAGTGGTGGTAGTAGTAGTAGTAATAGTAGTAGTAGTATTAGTAATAATAGTAGTAGTAGTAGTAGTATGAGTAGTAGTATTGGTATTATTATTATAAGTGTACTGTCATTAGGAATCAACATCTTGCACTCTGCGTTTATTTTATATACGAAAAAAAGAAAAAACAAAACAACTTTAAAACAGCTAACTGTTAAGACCTGCCCTCAATTCTGTACTGTCCTTGCTAACTGCTAACTGTGACCCTGAGCACCTCTTCACGTTGTACCTCTCCCTCAGGCAGCCGCGAGGCAGCATTTGTTTACGCAATCTCCTCGGCGGGCGTGGTGTATGCATTGACTCGTGCGTGCAGCCAGGGGGTGCTAAGGACGTGCCACTGTGACCCGCATAAGCGTGGACAGACCAGCGACGACAGCGGAGAGTTTAGCTGGGGTGGCTGCAGTGAGGATGTCAACTACGGCATCAAGTTCGCCAAATCCTTCATCGACGCTAAGGAGAGGACGGAGCGAGACGCACGGGCCCTCATGAACCTGCACAACAACCGCTGCGGGCGAACTGTACGTGTCCGTGTGCATGCTAGCAGCTACAGTTGCTGGTCCACAGCTAGCTTCTGCTGTCAGAAATAACAAGTGATTATCTTTTCGTCTCAAAAACTTGTTACCAGTATACAAACATACATGTGACAAAAGGGTAAACATAGTCTGGTTAATTTTAACAACGATTCTTTTTCTATGTTTTATAATTTGCACTCTTTAGACGTGGAGATTTTTTTGTGAGCTCTCAGGGACGATATTCATAGATATTCATGACTGTGTAATAAAAAACCTTTTAATTAATCATATTAAGAAACTTATCTGCATGGACTTTGTTATAAGGCAATAAACCGTTTTTTAAGCGGGCCACTCAAAATGACTTGGCGGGCTGCATTTGGCCCCCGCACCTTGAGTTTGACACACGTGCAATAGAGAGTGTTTTCAATCAGTGCTACATACAACGACATTGTAAAACCTGCATCGGCATGATGTTAATTCTTCATATTGAAATACTTCTCCCTCCGTTTCTGTCTTCTTTGTTGTTGTTGTTGTTGTTTTAGGCGGTGAAGCGTTTCCTGAAGCTGAAGTGTAAATGTCACGGCGTCAGCGGCTCCTGCACACTACGAACGTGTTGGATGGCCATGTCTGACTTCAGGAAGACGGGCGACTACCTGAAAAAGAAATACAATGGCGCTGTGGAAGTGACAATGAATCAGAATGGTACAGGCTTCACTGTGGCCAACAAGGCCTTCAGGAAGGTGACCAAAAATGACCTGGTCTACTTTGAGAACTCTCCAGATTACTGCATTCAAGACAAAGCAGCAGGTGAGAAGAGGTCCTGCAGTGTGCAGTGATGGATTACACCCACCGTGTGTGTGCGTGTCGGTGTGTACCCGGGCGTGACTTTGTGTATGTTTGTGTGTGATGTCTGGATGGAAGTGAATATTGTTGTAGCCTGAGGACATGCTGCTTGCATGCATGACCTTCAGACCTCTGTCTGTTTCTGTCAACACAACCACGGAAAACAGACACACAATACAGACACTAACAAAACACAGATTTACGCACACACCCACACAGTTTTTCCTCACACACAGCTACGGTCGTAGCCAAGTCACTTAAGTTGAGTCTACAGCAGGCGCGGTCCCACAATTGTCCTAAAATTGAACAGGGACATGTAAAAGTCATGCATAAAGGCTAAAATGCTAAAAATGCTTTTATCGTTCTCTACGCCATCTATTGGGGAAATGTAGGTATTGCAGGCAATAGAAATATAATGATAATATAAATGAATCATATCATTTGAGAAAGCCTGGCGGGCCGGATTAAAAAGCTGAACGGGCCACATCCGGCCCCCGGGCCTTAGTTTGCCCATGCCTGGTCTGCAAGGACTTGAGTTTGACTGCACATCATCATAGTAACATTATCTGGTTCTATGGAGGTTGACTAACATTTGGCCTATTACTAATGTGGGTCAGAATTGGACTGAAGTTTATTAATAACAACAAATTTGAGATGGTAAAAAAATAAACTTAAAAATTTGAGTTGCTAAAGATCTTTCTTTGGCCAGAGTACATTGGTTTAAATTTGCCCCCTAGAGCGCTAAAAGATTTTAGTAAATTATTACGTTTGTTTAGCAAAAAAAAATTATTAACATACATGTTTTCAGCGCTGTCAAAAATCATTTCGCGCTAGCTAGCTCCATGCTAACGTGAGGAGCGTAGCGGCTTGATAACAGACGCGAAACGCAAGGTCTACACAGGTAAAGACGCTGTCGTGTCAAAGTTGGACCTGCCATACAAGGTGCATTCAGGTACCATTGGAAACTTGAGAAGCCGATGATCACAACGGTTGAGAACAAATGGTTATTTAAGAAAACATAAAAAATAATTTGATTTTTTTTTTTTAACCTTCTTGCTGGAATTACATAAAAAATAATTTGATTTTTTTTTTAACCTTCTTGCTGGAATCCACACCAAAACTTGAGAGCAGAAGGAACACATTTTTAAAAAGTCGACCCCTCCTTCTCTCTCCGTCTCTGTCTCTCTGTCTCTGTCTCTCTGTCTTTCTCTCTCTGTCGATCACAGCCTTCTCGTTGTCTGTCTCTTTGAATCACGCGCATCTGCAGGGCACAGTGGGCCTCAGAGTAAGAGAGTCTGTCTGTCTGTCACGCTCCACTATCCATTTAGCGCACACACACAGACACACTCGCTGTCTTCAAAGGCAGCAGCGCTTCATGGGAAACCCATGTAACTCTACCAACACTGCATACTTGTGTGTCTGTTGTTTTTTTGCTGTGCTGTGCTTTGCTCGGTGTGATTGGTCACAGCTACTCACACCAAACAGCAGCACTAATCTCTGCTAATCTTTGCTAATCCTTGTGGGGATGAGTGTGAAACACAATATAATGTGTCACAACATAAGGTAATAACCAAATGACGTGCAACCTCGGACCAATAATGAAAAGAAGAAAAAAAAGAAAAAAAAGAAAATCACCCATTCGGCAGTTATTGAAGGCAAAACATTTGTCGCTAATGTGTGTGAGTTTTTGTTTTTTGTGGCTGTAACGTTTGAGTCCTTTCAGATGTGCCTCGACAACAAGACAAACACTGGTGGTTTTGTGCTTAAGTTGAGCAACACATATACTGTACACCCGTTGTGTCACCAGAATGGAGTGCCTTTGCGATAAAGCTACTGTCTGAAGGACTATACAACTTCCGAACACTTTTTTCTTTGTACTTGCCTCTACTGCCAGTCACGAACGGTTGTTATAAAATGCCAAAAAACAAATCTAATTTTTCTAAGTCACATGTACCAGTATATTCATCTTTTCAGCAGCAAAGCTTAATCCAGAAATATCGTATTTTCCGGACTATATGTCGCAATTTTTTTTTTCATCCTTTTGGCTGGGTCTGCGACTTATACTCAGGTGTGGCATATATATTTAAATATATAATTTCACATGTTTGTTATTTTCACACTCGCAGCTTCTAGGGGGCACTCTAGGCTTGCGTACCAGTATCTGCTACTCCTGTACCACTGAAAATGTACATGTTCATTATTTTCACATTTACAACCTCTAGAGGGCACTCTAGTCTTGTGTACCAGTATCTGCTAATCCTATAAGTCGCACTTTTTTTGCGACTTATATATGGTTTTTTTATCTTCTTCATTATGCTTTTTTTCGCTCCTGCGACTTATACTCCAGAGCAACTTATAGTCCGGAAAGTACGGTATCTTTATTCTCACTCTTGATTTTGTTTTCTACCCGTAGGTACCCTGGGAACTGCGGGGCGAGTCTGCAACAGGACTTCCCGCGGAACAGACGGCTGTGAGGTCATGTGCTGTGGGCGGGGCTACGACACCACCTTAGTCAAGCAGATCACCAAGTGCGAGTGCAAGTTCAAGTGGTGCTGCTCAGTGGAGTGTAAAGACTGCGAGGAAGCCGTGGACATTCACACATGTAAGGCCCCTAAACGGGCTGGACTGTTGGACCAGACATGAAGACACATTCCCCATATACCACCCCCTATAATGCAACCTCACCCCTTTATCCCCCTACTGGAAGAACATCCTCCGGAGCCTGGAATTCTGGGATGTTGTCTGAAAAAGTGGTCCCTTCATCCCCACCTCCATTCATCATTGCATGGCTTTTCTACTTGTCTCTGTGAAAAAAAAAGCACTAGAATCCAGTACCCAATAATATGAATTTATACCCATAATCCCTGTGTGTGAACGGCCCGATTCTGAACCACTGGGATCCAACGATGGACAGTTGAACCTGTGACCGGTGACTGGGCGTTTGTCGTCAATTTCTTGTGTATTTTCCTGAGTTTGCTGCTTTCATTACACATTTTACACGAACTGAGCCTTAAGCATATCCAGTATTATCACACCAGTACCATTTACTCACACCCTTTTTACTCTGCGGGGAAATACACTATAATTTCCACCTAAAACTGAACTGGGTTCAAATTGTGAAAGAAGCTTTCGACAAGTGCACTTTGAGAAGCAGATGTTTGGACATGGTTTGTTCAAACGGGAGTCTAGATGAAGAAACTACCAGAGAACATGAAGATGGATGGGTGGGAGACAAATTTGACAGATGGTTTGTGGAACTCTAAACATCAAGAATGAAAAAAAAGGCTGTTTTAAAAGTGATTTATTTAATTGTAACGTGTTTATTTTCTCATCAGCGAATGAGGCTGCACTACGGTGACTGACACGAGGAGAGAGAAGAACTGTTATCACTCATATCACCATTATCACCATTATCACTATTATCACCTATAGCAGTGTTACAGACCCGGATTTTCTGTGATGAATCGGGAAAGTAAGAACAGAGCGCAGATACAGAGCGAGTCCACGTGAAGACTGGTATTTGTTTAGGTCTTCAGGTTTTACTTACTTTCCAGTACTCTTATTTAACCATAACTGTAAAGACTTGTTGTGGCAGCAGGAGCCAATCAAAACACAGCCAGCTTTGTGGGCAGCCTGAGGAACCACCATTTCAGCATTAAGTGCTTGGAACTGTTTAGTACAATTGAAGTAAATGTTTCCTGATCAAAAGGTTCCATTGTTCCACGTACAAGCCAAGGTCTTGTAATTTCATATTTGTATTTCAAATAAAATGCAGCCAGCTATCACACAATCACAGAGCGGTGAGTCACTCGTACGACTTTTTCATGTCCAATACCGAGATCGCAACTTGGAGTATCTACCTATACCGATATCCGATACCTTTTTTCCTCTTCGAGTGTCACGCAAAGATAAATTGAGATCTTGGGCTTGGGTATCGGATCGGATGGGCTGTAGTGTTATTTCTTCGATTTTCAATCCTGAAATCTTCATCAATATCGGGCTAATACCGATCCTTGGTATTGGATCGAGTCATCCCTTGTGAGAAGGCTTGTTGATGATCCTTGGAGCACGGAAATAGAGTACTTTGACTTATGAA